CTAATATACACTATAATTTGATTTTTTCATGTTATAGAGGTCATGAAAATGAATATAAAATATTTTAATTGAATATATAAGTAATACTTAACTTCAGCCGGAATTAAGATTTTTATAATTCTGGCCAAATTTAAGATTTACCGAATCACGTTACTTAAATTTTATTGGTTCCCAGTCACGTGATCCAGTTTATCGAATCATTTTTACTATAGCTGGTTAGAAAATTGATCCGTTATAGCGAATATTGAGCTTTTACTAGTAAACTCTGGTATATCGAGCCTATTTTAATATACGTGATTTGGTTCCAGCAAAAAAGTCTGGTTTAGGTCCAAATCTGGTTTATCGAATATCCGGTTTATCGAATTTCACTGTGTATATTAAATATATGTGGAAGTTACATATATAAATATACCTATCTAGTATTTAGTAGTAAATTAAATATATGTGAAAGTTATATAAACATATTGGTATTTGGTATTTAAAATTATTTTATTAATTAAAATATTTTTTTTATTATTAGATACAAATTATTTTAAAAATTGTCAAAAAATTAGATTTTTTAATTATTAGTACATTACATATGCAATTTAGAAATTGAAAAATTATTTTATTAATAGGACATTGATTTTATTTTAGTTTTATTCTTTTTTTTAATTAGATATAATTTTTTTAAATATTATTAGAAAATTAAATGATTTGATTCTTTTAATTATTAGTATATTATTATATCTATAGAAGTTGAATAAACATATCTATTTAATGGAATTTAATATTTAAATTATTTTATTAATATAAAATTTAATTTTTGTTTTGTTTTTATTTACAGTATTTTTTATTTTTTTATTTTTATTTATTTTTTATTAGATACAAATTATTTTAAATATTGTTAGAAATTGGATCAACAAAATCATTTATTAAAAAATTTGGATTTGCAAATAATTGCAATAAATGTTTATCAGTACATTTCGCAAATCCAAATTTTTTTTAATGAATGATTTTGTTGATCCAATTTCTAACAATATTTAAAATAATTTGTATCTAATAAAAAAAAATAAAAATAAAAAAATAAAAAAATACTTTAAATAAAAACAAAACAAAAATTAAGTTTTATATTAATAAAATAATTTTAAATATTAAATTCCATTATTAAATAGGTATGTTTATCTAACTTCCATAAATATATAATGTACTAATAATTAAGAATCAAATCCTTTAATTTTCTATCAAATTTTAAATAATTTAGATCAAATAAAAAAAAATTAATAAAATCAAAATTAATCAATGTTAATTGCTAAATTACATTAAATAAGTATGTTTATTTAACTTCCATAAATATGTAATGTATTAATAATTGAAGGATTTAAATTTCTGACAATTTTTAGATCTAATAGTAAAAAAGTAAATAAAAAACAAAAAAATTAATGTTTTATTTAATAGCATAATTTTTAAATAATAATTAAAAGATTTAATTTTCTGCATTTTTGACATAATTTGTATTTAATAGTAAAAAATAAAAACAAAAAATCATTTTTTAAATGTTAAATAACTTAAATTTACAATAAAAAAATTTTTTTTTAGTTAAAATATACCAAATTGCTAAAAGTTAAATTGCATTAACTTGTCATCAAGTAATTGTAAAAAAATAATACATAGCTTGTTGGATTGTATTGAGATGTATTAAATGGTAGGAGTTTTATACCTTTAGGATTAATAAATAATAAGATATTTACATTGTTTGAAAAGAATTTTTTTGAATTCTTAAATATTTCCAAATGCCAATAACTTTCCATCTATTGATGATAAAAACCACAATTTAACAATTTAACATGTCTTGATGAGACAAAGCTAACAAGTTTTAATTTGTTTTTTCTATGATCACTGGATTATGATAAATTGATGCAATTTATAATATTTGCATTTATAATGCTGACCAAATTTACAAAAACAGACATTAATGTCCATTTTTATAATTCCGGCCAAATTATGTCCGTTTTTATAATTCTGGCCAAATTTGCAAACGGACATTTATGTCTGTTTTATAATTCTGGCCAAATTTTGCTGGGCGAAATTATCTTAATTCTGGCCAAATTAAAGTGTAACCTTGAAAAAATTTTTGCCTTTTTTATAGTTACAAGGTGGTACAAAATGTACATTAATGCAATCCTTGACCATGAGTTTATAAGTAAATATCCGGTCAAAAGTTATAAAATTGCTTTATTTGTAATTAAATGTTGGTAAGTTGTTTGGACCAATCAGATCTCGTGGGCTAATCTGGCCCATGGGCAGTTTATAAGCTAGGATGTAGTGCACGCCCACTTAGCTTAGAAACTATGTCGATCATTTGGCTGGGATGCCAATCTTGTAATCGCGTCCATGTATAATACACTTCATGGCAGCAAGTCTGAAATACGTGACAGACTTCGGATATTCGTTATCACATTTTTAATCATGTTCGTTTGGCAATTCATGCCAAGGCACATGTTCACTTAACAAGTATGGCTATATTATGCATAATAGCTCCATATAGTAGGATAATGAAGATATTAGGAAGTGGTTATCATGGTGTAGGGAACCTAAATTTTACATTGGATTGGAATGCAATTGGACAACCCAGGCCGTTATATATTCCATGGTTGGTAATAGACAAAAACCTATAAAATTGAGTTCAAATATTTATCAACTATAAAATGTTTTGTTTAGGTGGGCTCAAGTAAATCATTATGTCAGTATAATTATTGGTGTATCATGTATGGATCATTACCCGCTTTTATATCATTTTAATTTCTTGTAAGAATCAAAATTTTCGTTCGAATTTGTTTATGATCGTTTTGTATATTTAATTGTTTCAACATAATTAAATAGGAAAGCACAAAGATTTCCATTTTCATCCACACTTCCTTTAGACAAATATGGACAAAAGTAAGCGATACGGTTTGATTCCAAAACTTTGAATATCAACATAAAGATTATAAACTAATAAAAATTTTTTTTTTTAATAGATATAATCAGACATTAATTATTGATAGGACAACCAGATTTTTAAATGTTACAGCTTATGATAATTATAGCCCAGTATATTTATCAGCCACCTTTGCTGTTAATTATCTATACTCTTTCATTTCGATTACCGCAGTCATGAGTTATGTGTTCTTATTTCATGGTAAAGATATTTGGAAAAGGTTCAAATCTAGTCAAGATGAAAAGAGACATGATATTCATTCCAAGTTGATGAGCGTTTATCCAGGTATATTGTTGAAATTTTACGCTAATACAGATGTTGTGGATAATAAATCATTCAAATTTTAGAAATTCCAAATACTTGGTATTTTACAATATTCTTCATTATGTTATTAATCGCAATCGTACTTGGGTATATGATGACGGAGGTGAATTTACCGTGGTGGGGATTGCTTATGGCTATAAGATTATCAATAATTATGGTGCTTCCAATTGGGTTGAATGTGTTAGCTGAAATAATTTGTGGTTACGTCCTCCTTGACCGGCCTATCGCCAATGTATACTTTAAATGTTATGGTTTTGTAATAATGTATCAATGCCTTTTCTTGGTTTCCGATCTTAAACTTGGTAATATAAATAGTGTTTTAATTGATTCATGTGTATATTGTTAATCAATATCTATTTCTTTATTCAAAAGTCATTATATGAAAATTCCTCCATGTTCTATGTTTATTTCTCAATTATATGGCACAGTTGTCGGAGATTTTATGAATTATTGGGTTTTAAGACTTATTATTTCTTCAAAACGACAATTTCTTGATGGTACAATGGAAGATCCAACCGGTCAAGTAAGTTTCAAGTATTTCATGTTTTTTTTCTTTAACTTGAAATTAACAATTCGCACCTTTTGAAAAATAATAGGTATCAGGGTATCATACACAAGTTATTAATACAGCTTCAATAGTGTGGGGTTTGATTGGACCTGCAAGAACATTTGGTGTAAGAAAATCTAATTATTTTTAATGTTATTTCTCGCACAATTAAATGTTCTAATTAGATCTTTTTTAATATAGCCAAATTCCCTATATCGCCCGCTTCTTTGGGGTTTTTTAATTGGAGTCTTTGTGCCAATTCCATTTTATCTATTACATCGAAAATATCCAAAATATAGATTTGATTTAGTGAATGTACCTTTAATTTGTAATGGATTACAAATAATTCCTGAATCTTATACAAATTTTATTATTATGGGATTCTTAGCAAGTTTTGCAAGTCAATTCTATACCTATAGATACAAGAATCAGTGAGTTATATAAATTGAAATTATATTTAAAGTTTTTATTTTCTAATAATACATTTCTTTTTTTTTTTAATATTTTATAGATTATGGAAAAAATAGAAGAGCTTATTCCTTTATTATAATCATTGATTTGATCGAACATTTTCACATTTAATACTTGATTTTTTTTAGATATAATTATGTGATTTCTGCATTGTTCGATAGTGCAACTCAAATGGTCAGTCTGGTTATATTCATATTTTATAACGGGATTATCCAGGTAAAAATATAATTTGATGTATCAACTGATAGCTTTATTTTTATTTTTAAAGTTATTGATATATATTTGTAATTTAAGATTAAATTTCCAGAATGGTGGGGAAATAACTGAGAATCTCAGGGAGAATAATGTTTTGCTGCAGATTAATAATATTTATAATATTTATTCATTAGGGTTTTTTTTTTAAAAAAAAGGACATTGCCAGAGTGTTGAGAGTTTAAAGGCGTGACATGGATTTAAAAGCTCGATTTTATTTATTCTATTTGCAATCTTTAACATATCATATGTAAAAATAAACAATTTACAGAGCAGGATATATATAAATAAAGCACTAAAACAATTATTTAATTTATTTATTTTAAATATAATAACTTCTTTAATATGTCCAATGTTTAAATTTTATAACTGTCAATAAAATCAACAATAATTAAGGAAAAAGATATTAGCTGATAGTCGGTGTTCTCATGTTTTTTATGTTAATATATTTAATCGCACATATCTGTATGCCTAAGAAAGTCGTATTGTATTAAAAAGTGGTATCTTTGAAATACTTTATAGCTATCGTATGATTACTTTTTCGTTGATTGTAATTATTTGTATTCCAGTTTTTTTTATTCAATTTACAAGAATATTATGCTTTATCAGGTGATAAAACTATTTTCAATGAGTTCATCTATGCCAATAAGAGTATTCCCACGAAATTTGGCCCAACAAGAGATACTTTCCGGATTCAGGAATATTCCCAAAGTAGGTATACTAATAATTTTCTCTCTTTCACATAAAATATTGTCTGAGGAAACAAAATATGACTTTTCAATAACTACCGGAATGCTAAATCTAGCAATGGGGGGTACACTTTTTTTATATCTTTCAATTATATCTTTATAAGTAGCATGAATTGCTTCCATTTTCATTTCAATTATATCATAAATGTCTTTATTACATAATCTTCTTATATAATATTGTGGTTGTAAGGAAATTGAATTGTTGTTATCCTTCAATGTTTTTTTCTTATTTTCCTGTGAAACAAAATTTATACCAACAAAAAATCTTTTATCCCATAATACAACTTGACCATTCTGAATTATTACAATATTTTTTGTTTCTTCTTTAGATGTAAATGGTTGTCTACAAAATGTCAAATTTCCATAAGGTATGTCCGAAACGTAATTAACTTTTTTTTCATAACATAATAAAACATTATTCAATGTAATATTGTTGTATCTTGAAGTCTTGTTATGTGAAAGGAGAATTTGAGATATTTTAGAAGATAAAGTGGAAAAAGACAATATATGATCATAAAATCTCAATACAGATTCTAATCTTGGAGGTTGTTCCAAACATTTAACAAATGTTATTATTTTACTTATTATTCTTGTAGCTAAATATTTCTGTAATATCCAATGAAAAGATGGAATTGGATCAGGTAAAATTAATGTACAAATTCCATTATTCTTATCAAATTTAATCCTTGAATGATTTATGATTTCATTCGCTGTGATATAAAAAAAAAAAATTATTTAATTAAATAAGATAAATCTTGCATATGCATATTTTTTTCCAAATACCTTCTGAATTTACACAATTTTTATGATATTCCATGTGGCTCATGAACCTTGATAATCCTTCTGTAGTTAAAGGTTCATATTCTTCTTTTCCTTCAATATAATATTTTTTATTAAATTTATTCAATGAAAATCTTACAACATTTCTTTTATGATCCATTGATTGATTTGAAGGATCTTCAACCCAAGGAATATTAGCCTTAATACAAGTTTCTTTCAATCTATCCTGATAAGTATATATTTATCAATTAGAAAGAAATGGAAAAAACACCAATTTTTGATGAGTAATACCTTTGTTACAAATAATAATGGTCTAACAGTTTGTAATCCAATAGCTTCAATATTTCTTATAACAGGAAATTTACTTATAATAGACATTGAAGCCAATCCATTAATTCCACTTCCTCTTGATAATCTCATTAATAAAGTTTCTAATTGATCATTTAAATGATGTCCTACAAATAATGATGAAATTTTATACTCATTACATCCTTTTGCTAATAATTTATATCTTTCAATTCTAGCAAATGTTTCATACTGTGATTGTGTAGGAAATGGAGAATTAGAATTATTAATTGTTAAATCTGAAAGGTCAACCCTTTTCCATTGAATTTTCATTATTTGATTGTTAATCTCTAAATAAAAAAATGTAAAAAATGTATTGTTAATTTTATCAATATAAATTAGTATTTAAAGTTTAAAAGTTTACCTAATGTAGATAAAATATTAGAAACTTGAAATGCTTCTTTTGTGCTCTCTTCTCTTAATTGATGATCAATGATAAAAGCTGTAATCTGATTTCCTGATTTTTTACAATATTGATTTAATAAATAACATAATGCCATACTATCTACTCCTCCTGATACTGCAACTCCTATTAAAATTGAGTGACATTTATTTCATTAAATAGGAAATTGAATGAGAAAAAAAAAAATTCTATACCTATTCTTTCTTTATACTTTAAATTTACTTTACTCATGAATCCTGAAAATTCTTTCACAGAAATTGGTAATCTTGAAGTCATTTTTTTTTAAAGTGAAAAAGTGAGTTACAATAAAAAAAAATATAGGAAGGTTATTCCTGACCAGGACTAATATTATTATCTATAAAAATAACAATTTATTGAACTTGTAATAATAAATTTATTTTAAATGAATCAGATATTTTTTTAAAAAAACTTCCTATTTAACATTCTATGTATAAAGGGATTATTATGGTGAGAGGTTGGTTAATAAAACATTGTAATTTCATAAAAATAGTAATTTATGATATATTTGTATATGATTAGTAATCCGATCGTCTATATATATACAAAGTAAATTCAAACAATTAAACATCTGCAATCATGAAAAATTTCTCCTTTTGGAAGGTTTCACTAATTCCCACATAAATTGTGCTTCACAATAAGAATGCTTGCCAAAACTATTTTTTCAAAATTTTAGTTTAGTCAAAATTCAATCCAAAACTATTTTTTATAATAAATTTAATTGCTGAAAATGTTTTTATGCTTTTCCAAAACTAATTATAATTTAGGAAAGTTTCAGATTTACCAATTTTTTCATTAAAAATAAAGTTTTTGAGTTTCAGATTTTTTTGAATTTTATCATTAAATAAGTTTTGGCAGCAACATTACTTCACAATATAAAATAAGATGTATAATAAAATGATTTTATTAATTTAACTGATCAATTAATGAAATGTAAAAAGTCTTCCAGAAGATTTAAAATTAATATATATTATAATAAAATGCTTAAATTTTTATTGCAAATATGTATTACTTAATAAAGGCTAGTAAAGTGCTTAATGTTTTAAAATGTTTTTAAAATGCCAAAATTGTTTTATTCACAACTAAGGTTGCTTGTCTAAACCTCTTCAAAATCCTACGATTAGTTTCATCAAAATTTTACTATAGATTTATTATAGTTTCGGCAGAGTTTTGGCAGTTTTGGCATTTATAATAAGTTTTGGCAGTTTCGTCTTTCTCCAAAGTTTCGCCAGTTTTTTAATATAACTTTAATATAGTTTTGGCAGAATTTCGCTTTTCGGCAAAATGCCATCTTGCCTAAACCCTAGGTTTCGGCAAGCAACCTTATTCACAACATATTTATTATTGAATTAATGACATACCAAGCAAGTTTATTTCATTAGTTTCTTTATTTACCATATTTTTGCCATATTATTTGACAGTATTTCTCTTAAAACTGTTCAGTTGGCTAGAAAATTTAAAAGAAAAATGGCAGAAAGACCTAATATTGGAATTCATAGTATTATTTCAGGTAAGAAAAGGGACTGTAGAGAAAGTACAAAAAAAATGTTTGAACAAATTCAAAAATGTATTTTATATAGAATGAAACAAAAATCATACCTTTTGATCTAAAGGGAAAAACAATATCCTTACACATATTTATCTAATACTGATTCTCACTATTTGGATATTTGGAATAAGTTCTGAGTTCATTCTAGATCTTTTTGCTGTAAGCAAATTTCCTGCTGAAGGAAAAAAAAAAATTTTTTTTATAAATAACAAAGAATTGTGTTTCAATAGTCATATGGTAATTTCGTGGTTATTATATAAAATAAGTAAATTTTAATCTGCTATTGATCTGCTATAAGATATGATAAAATTTCCTAATTTATATTAAAAATAAGTATTGTCAACTTCTTACTATCTTGAAATTTGGTCAAAATTATGCAAAATGAAAATCGGACCTTTTAAAAAATTTTGATGATTTTATGCAAATAAAAAATCTTGCATCTGAAAAGGGTATTAAGTTGGTTACGTATCTAATTCCCTGACCTATATACTAATAGCTCAGGGTCCTGGTCATGTGTTAATCATGTGTTAATAAACTAAACTAAACTAAACTAAACTAAACTAAAATATAAAACATTAACTTCTATACTAACTAAATATCATTAATTAACATTAATTTCTGTATAATCTATCCTATATCTTCGGTTACAATATAATCCATCCAGCACACAACCACTCCTAGAATAGCATGTTATACCTCTGAACTACCATTAGCACCATCAAAAATGCACAAAATTCAATTCCCCTATTTGACTACATACTATGAATTAGAGCTTCGCACGGTTGGGTCGGGTTACCTGGTTAACCTGAACCAAAATTTTTTTTCAGGTCAGGTCAGGTCAGATAAACTGTTCTGACTCAACCTGACTCATATAACCTAAAAGTATTCAGGTTACTTTGAGTAACTCAGGTTACCTAAAGTTTTATTATTAAATATTGTAAAAAAATGTTTTGTAACATTTTTTACTTTTTGTTTTATATATAAAATGCTGAAACTATTTGTTTTGGCATTTTTTCTTTTGATTTTACATGTAAAAATGCTAAAACTGATAGTTTTGGCATTTTTTTTTGATTGTATATGTAAAAACACCAGAATTATTATAAATTTCGGTATTATTTAATTTATTTGACCCAAATATATGTCAGGTCAACAGGTCAGGTCAGGTACCAACTAGCACTGACCCGACCTGTGTCAGGTTATGAATTTGATGACCTGACCTGAATATTTTGGGTCAACTCATCAGGTCACTTGATCTGTCAGGTCAGGTTGCGGAGCTCCACTATAAATAATAAACCTAATTCAAAAAGACCTCCAAAAACTTTTTAGTATTGTGCAGTCCAGCCACTAAGGAACTTTTTAGTGTCATGCATAAAGCTTCAAACAGTTTGGTTCAGTTCCATTTTTTAGTTCTTTTCTGATTGGTCAGAATCCGTTTTGCACAATAACACACCATCCAGTAATCGTAGAAATCTGATCTATAGCTCGTTGGAATAGTCTCATTGAGACAGTTCAATTGGTACCAAATGCATCTTTCTAGCACCGATAGATGGCGAGTTATTTTTTGAAAAATTGGCAAAAATAACTCGCCATCTATCGATGCTAGAAAGATGCTTTTGGTACCATTCGAACTGTCTTGATGAGATGATTCCAACATCAGCAAGTTTTAAACAGGCGTATAAAGTGTTGAAAAACACCATGTGTTGCTTAACGCCAAAAAACATAGGGAAACGAACCCTTTGTCAATCAACACCACTTAAAAATGTTTAAAAACGTGTAAAATAACACCCATTTAAGTGTAAAGCTACACATAGTAAAACAACGATAGTTTAAAAATGCGTATACAATGTATAAAAACGCGTATATTGATATTAAAAACACGTATAGCAAAGGTAGCAATAGTATTTTTTAATCATCGTACGATAGTTAACTTTAATTGTAGTATTAGTAATTTATTAACATATATATTATTGTATATTATTAACGTGTATATTTTAAAATTTTTAAATTGTAAAACATTGTAAATTTATTTATAGAATACAGTACAATACAAATACAATATCTAATCATGTAAAATTGTAAAAATTCATCCTCTTGTTATAATTGGATTGCAGCGGATTTTTAAGCGATAAACGTACTAAAATTCCGTTGACATAGCGCCCCTAGTGAAACAACCATAACAAGGTGGAAATATGAACTTTCCCTCAATAATTATATTAATATTATGCTCCTTCATGATAAAAATCAAAACCAAATCTCGTCGTATGTGTCTTAACAACATCAAGTGGTTTAATATTCACATTGAGGATTGAGGAATTATCTTCCATTATTCATTCGCTCAAGGGTCGAAATAACCATCAAGCTGACCTACAAAAGAAAAATCCAGAGCGCCAAAAAGAAAATCTAGGCCTACAAAAAAAAGAGAAACGTTCAGTTAGAACGTTTCTTAAAGAATAAAATTAAAAAAAATAATTAAAAAAATGTAAGTTTCGAATATCGAAACTTACCATATCGGCATATCCAAGTCCCGTCTCTTATACACATCTAGATGTGTATAAG